TGTTTTTTAAATACCAGTCTACAATATTGTGAATACTTGAAGTTTCTACTTGACTTTTGTTTGTACTTTTGTTTAATGAAGTACTGTTGTTTTACATTTTTGTTCATTTTTTGACAGTGTAGGATTTCTCCTCTCAGGTGTGGTCTCTCTAGCTCTCCCACCACCAAAGCACCTGTAGTCCTCCACTGTAGCCCAATGTGCTCTAGAAGTTTCTACTTTAACTCTGGAGTAATTTTGTTGGAAAAAGTACAGCTTTGTTCTAATAAGAAGGCACCATGAAACTCCTATCAGAAGATATATGCATCATTTGTAGCATCCATGATGCTTTTCCTAAGTGTGTGGGAGTTAAACATTCACATTCACCCCATTTAGGATTTTTCTCAAGTCTCACAAGGGTGCCCAGATTGATGAATTATGATATGGTGGTTATCTCACTGTGCCAACAATGAGCGCTTCAGGCAGAAAAAATAGACCAATTGAAAAGAAGAAAGCCTTTGTTTACCCAAATGTGTTTTTAATTATAGTATTAACAAAGATAAAGAAAAACCACAGAAGCACAAAGCAACCACATGGGAGTGTGACAAAATAAGCATTCTGTTTACTTATTCAAAACATTGTTTCTCCAAATATTGGGTCTTTTTCCTCTTAGGACTGTTTCTTTAAGAAACCCCAAATTAAATATGTCCTTGATTTAATAACCAAATAACTGTAAAGGGAAAATAATATCAAATATAAAATAAATCATGTTGGCATTTAAGGATTAAAATGATGCCACAGTTTGAGAAGAAATTCATTTGTTGATATTTGTTCACCATTATGAATATTGCAAATCTTATATAGTCAAGTGTGATCCATTGCTGTTTTCCAAGAAGTGATAACATCTCCCCCAATGTCATTAATAATTTTAATCTTGGTCAAGTTTCCCTGCATTAATATTTAATAAAAGCAAAATGTTGCTATAGTAACTCCTCTATAGCAGTGTTACTCCAGCCTTTATGATTCAAAGTCCTCCATGTATAATAGCATCCCGGGCAAGTCGTTACACACGTATGTGGATACATACATGCCAGCGTACAATATGCTCCCTGCCTTTTCACAGGCTTTTTCTTTAAACAGATAACCCTGAAGCGATTATACATGTAGTGAGTTCCCAAAATAGAGAGGTGTTTGTTCCTCTCCAACTTTTCATGAATTTACTTATGAACCACTTATGTGCTTTATCTGGAGTAATCTAATTCCTGCTACCACCCAAGAACTTTTGTGTGTTTCTAGCATACAGACTGACGGGCACCCGGGACCCCGAACTTGCACTTGCTATAAATAGGTTCTGCCATCCACCACAAAAAGACAAAGCATTCTCTTGGTGTGTAAGATGTTCAATAGAAAAGAACTTTAATAGATTAGTATGCATAAAAAGAAAAGAAGAAAAAGGATATAGTTTTCCCATGAAAGACCCAAAGTTACCCATTCCCTTTTGGATAAATTCCCAACCAAACAGGGTTGACCCAAAATGGGACTGCCAGGGCCCAATATGTTGCTACAAGTCCAAGCCACCTTCTGGAGGGGAACCATAGGAAAGGGACAGAAGAGGCCAGGCAAGTCTAGAAGAGCAGAATCAAAGTATAAGCCTCTCTCCGGGTCTCTCACTCCTGTCTCTTCCAAGTCTCTCCTTTCATGTTCCCCAAGTCCCTGGTGCAAGGCCAGAAGCAAATGCAGCTTCTTCACATGTCTCTCTGCTCCATGTGCCTCCTCGGTGTTCCCTCCCAAGTCCTTTTTGTCTTCCCCTTGCTACTCAGCTCCACCCTTCTTTAAGTGGCACTGAGAACATGGAACCTCCTCTTTTTAGATTACATTGTCACACTACCCCATTCCTCTATTGAGTTCATGTTTGTCAGAGATCTTTCAGTAGCAAGCAACAGAAATGCACTCACGCTAGTTTAGACAGAAAAAGGGCATTTACTGGAAGAAAGCGCACAGCCCTTAGGTGTTTCACAGCCCTTAAGGACAGGAAATGTTGGTATCCCCAGGAAGACTAGAAGCCATACCAAGGATTAGCAAGGCCAAACCCAGGCTCTCTCCAGGACCTTGTGCTCTCTCCTCATGTACTGTTGTTTCTTTATTCCTCTCTGTAGACTGGCTGGTGATGCATATGCCCTCTCTGCCGCCAGTCTACATGCTAATAACAAATTTTTAAACTACTACTTAGGGGGTGGGAACCTCTCATGAGAGGAACAGAAAATGTGCGGTACTCAGAAAAGAGGTAAAGCATGGATTTGAGAAATATTTTGCAAGTAAATACTTTTTGCATCACAAGAAATAGCATATAAAAGCGTACCAACAAAGTATTGTTTTTTTCTGATCTTGTTTTTCATATTCTACCCCAGTAGATCAAAATTAGCCATTCCTTTTAAAATCTATTGGGATAAAATACTGTTATCTACCTCGAATTCCACTGGGAAATGGGAAGGATAAAATTTCTTAAAGAATAAATAAACCGATAAATAGATATCGGCTCTTCCTGGCATATCAGGTTAGTTAAGGACACCAGTGAAGCCAAAGTTATCAACCCATAATCTGTGATGCTCACCTGCCACCTGACAAAACAGGTGAGTCAAGAGTGACAGGAAGTTGGAGAAGGATGCAGATTCCTTTTGCTGTCCTGAGAAATGAGTGAAGAATGGTATGAAAGGCTGGGCCAGAGATTTGCCTGTCCACAGCAGTACCAGCTGAGACAAGGCAGTTTGAGTGTCCTTGTTCAAGGATGGCTTTCTAAAAGTTTGGAGGGCCTAGGGAAATGTTTTTTTGTATGTGTTCTCAAGTTTCACAATTTATGGCCAATCTTCTGAGTTGGAGGATCCAGTTCTCGCTTGTAAAATGTTTACTGCCTAAATTCCTGATGGGAAAGTGCCTAAATTCCTGATGCCTAATTTCCTGATAGGAAAGTACAAAAGACCAAGAAGAGCAAGTTAAGCCAAACAAGGAAGGGTGTACTTGAGCCCTGTTTCCAGGAGGCCAATCCCAGCCTTCACCTCTGCTTTGCAGAGACTCAAAATGTGCTAGATGTGTGATTAACAAATTGAACTTGGTGCCTGAGGGCCTGATAAATTTGCCTAGTCACAGCCTCTGTGTGCAGCTTGGGGAGCTAGCCTTGAGCAAACTCAAGCAGTGAAAATGGACTAACTAGGCTATCCCACAATCCTTCCCTTATGCTAATGTTTTTCTTTGCTTCTTGCCTCCCCTCCCTACCCCTTTCCAAAACTTTCCAGAAAGGATTATAGTCATTAGCAGCTCAGAGTGAATAGATATTATCTCTTCAGGAGGACATTTTCATTTTAACCTTATCTTTAATTGAAGGTCTCCTGGATTGTTAAAGGAATTTTAAGAATATATTTAAGAATATTCCTCCCTTCCTCAAATACTAGTCAGGCCCTGGTGAGATAATTATCATTAGTTCTGTTCAGGGTTGAGATTAGACCAATTCATATTGATTTCTTCTCTGTTGCTACCATACTGGCTAATTTTTATACTGGTTGGCCAATATCTTTACTACATCCCAGCACCTCCTGCCCCCTTGCTTCTCCCTGGAATGTCCTAGAGCTCCCCAGGATCCAGAAACTAAAAGGTATTTCTTGGTGTAGTTGGGGCCTCCTCGATCCCTGTGTTCCAACTCTTTGATTGGCATCTACTCTGATCACTTGTGGCCAGTAACGTTTTGGTTGTGAAATATTTTGCCTATCACTCCTGTTTCTACCTCTTTGAATGGACTTTTCGATGTTTACAAGTTAAGACATCTCTTACATTCCCCTACCCCCAATCAACAGCCATCATACCAAACTGAAATTTCTCCTGAAATCTACTCCCCCAGCTATCTTTAAACAAAATATTAAAGGTAAATAAATAAATCACTGAACAGTAAAAATGGAAAATAATGTTTGGGGGAAAAAAAAAGGAATAAAACAGATACTAGGCAAAACTGAGGGATTCCCAGAGACCCCAAACTATTAAAGGGAAAAATTCATCTTGGCCATCTAAGAGTTCATGCCCACCCATGCACACAAAAGCAAAATAATCAAACTCTAGGATGTCCCCCATTTTTTAACCTGAGAAAGGTTGAAAAAGACTAAAGAGAGGAGATGGAGAGAGGATTTCAAAATAGCCACACCCAATCAGACTTCAGTATGAACCATCTGCTTGTGGGTAAGCTTTTGGCCAGCCAGGCAGGGCCCAAAGCAGAGCAGCTAAGGTCCAAAAGTGGAATCGCCAGAACAAATCCAAGGTACCTTCCCATCAGAAAATACAAGAGCTGAGCAGTGTCCAAAGGGCTGGGAAGGAAAAAAGAAAACCAAAATTCTAAATGTCCCACCCAAGCTGAATCCACCACAAGGTCAAGATGGCTGCCTCCATAATCTCTCAGGAGAGTAGATTCAGGCAGCCTTACCAAAGCAGAATTAAGACACTGGAAACCCCACAGGAACAGAAGACCCCTTCTGAATGTCCTCCAGCTCTGTCTTTTAAAATGTACCCCAGGTTCCAACAACCCGTCGGTTCCAGCTGGCCTCACTGAAGATATTAAGCTTAGAACAGCAAGACTTAACAGTTCTCTTACATTGCCAGACCTACAGTTCTTAAACTCCAGTATGGCTAGAATTGGAGACCATGCTTAAAATGCATATTTCTAGGCGTCAGTTTTAGAAATTCCATACATCCAGCATGACTCTGGAATCTATTTTTAACTTGCACCCCAGGTAAGTTTTATGAAGATGTTGCCAGAATCACACATCAGAAATACTCAAGTCAAAGGTTGCTATGAATTATGCACAATGGTCCTTGGGTAAGACATGTATTCTTCACAGCAGCCTCCTTCATCAGAATTTTAGAGTAACTTCAGTTACTATAGCTTACAATAAAGGAATATAAGTCCTCCTGATGGTTTTTGTTAATTGGTGTTCCAATTTTCCTGGTCTTCTACAAACACACTCTTTTTTGTTTTGAAATTATAGAGTCTGTCATCCCAAGTAGTGGAACATTTCATGTAAAACTCCCTAAGAAGCACAACGTGGAACTGGGAATAACCATAAGCTGTAAGTAGAAATAAATTCCTTTAAAATGTGCAATTTTTAAAAGACATTAGAAAATTGTATTGTCAAATGATTTATAGGTTTAACATGTTTTAAATGTCATTGCCAAGTTTCTATCTAATGATACAATAATGTGGAGCTGGTCATACCTCCAGTTTTACTAGCTTTGTGAATGTGACAAGTTACCTAAACTCTCTCCATTCTTAAGTTTTTCATCTGTAAAATGGAAATAAGGCTATGTACTGAATATCCCTATTTTGTCTGTTATTTATTGTATTAAATATCATATTTATATGCCTAATATAATCGTTAGCAAGTAGTAAGTTAGTACTAAATAAATACGTGTATCACACCCTCCCCATGAGCATAAAAATACATTTAGGTTCTCTGTATTTTACTATATATGGATTAAATTTTCACAGTAATTAACTAACAAAAATTTCATTTATTTACTTTTAAGACTGTCTTCTCATCCATCCATTCTTCTTCTTTTTGCAAGAGAATAATATCTATCATTTGAGTAAATTCCTGAATTTCTGCACAGGTCAGGTGTCTGGGTAACCAAACCAAAAAGAAAAGCAGAACATAAAAGTGTGTGTTTAAGTTCCTCCTTTCCTCAGGCTCTAGATTTATAACTGCTTTGGTAAAATTTGAAAATTTCAGCCCCGGTGGAGTTTTATAGAATGGAAATTGAGGTTTTTGTGCTTTTAATATTCATAAACTTAGTTCATCCATAAATGCCCCAAGATAAGAAAGTAAATGATTACTGTATGAAAACCAAAGGAGACGTAAAGGCAATGCCTGGACCAAGGCATGGTGCCTTCAAGAAAGAATGATGAGGGCCTCCCCTGGTGGCGCAGCGGTTGAGCTCTGGGCTGCAAAGCTGACCACAGCCTCTGCAGCGCCAGTTCAATCCCCAGCCACTGGCGAGGGTCCCACATGGCACACAGACCTCTCCTGCTGCGCCCGCTGCTCCCCTCAGCAGTTATTTCATCGGTCTTCCTATTCTGTTCCCCGCTCTGGCTCTGGTGAATTCTCTCGCCCTTTGCACTTCTGACTGTACCCAGTGCTTGTATAAATAAATAAATCTTTAAAAAAAAAAAAGTGATGCAACTACATAAAAGTGCCCTAGTGCACTCAGTCAGAGAGATTTTTGTCAATGTCTAAAGCAAAAATAAAAAGTTCTCAACTGGGCAATATGAAAAGGGGTTGTCCAATTCTACTTTGCCGATATAACACTGAAAGTGAAATTTTATTTATAACCAATAAATCACACATATCTAGTGCCGCACTAAAAACAGTGGTGCTTTAATACAGAATAAATGTTAAGAAAAGAAGCCTTATGTATGAGAGAGCCTGCTTCTCCACCCCATCCCAATCCAAACATGGTCTAGTGGGACAAAAGTATAACCAGTGTACCTGATGTGCCTCTGGATATTAAGTGGAAAGAAGAAATGGAGTTTGGAGCTCCAGACATCTTTGAGGTGCAACTAAAATCTTTTATGTCATTAATCAGGTCACTTAGCCTCTCCATTTGTTCATTAGGAAGGAGTGTTGATGTGCCACTAGTCTGTCAACATATGTGGTTACTGAGATTAAGGGGGAGCACATCAGAACTACTACTCTACAAATATTTGGGGCTCAAGGTGACATCTGGAACCCTGTGTAATGTTAAGACTGCTTTCATTTATTCTATTTATTCCATGTCTTCAGAAGTGGCTGTGAAGGTGGTCACTCTGGGTGTTGTGCAGTGCACAACCTCTCCACTGTACACAAAGGCCCTGCCACCCATGCCCATCTTTCATTCAGTAAATATACTGAGCGCCCACTGTGCCTAACCCGATGCTTAGTACACCCTGTCCTCAGAGGCAGTCACTGCAAGTGCACATTCTGAAGACACTTCTCAGAAGCTTCTATTGCCACACATTTTGCCACTCTGGTATTTTATTCTCAAATTTAATTAGGAATGATTTTTTTTCTTTTTTTATATAATACATTGATGTGTAAAAATAAGGATACATAAACTATGATTTAACTATAAAGGAGAGTATCCATTTAAAAGCTAATCTTGTGATACAGTCCTTTTTGTGTGTGATTGTTTTATTTATTTATTTATTTTAAATTTTATTTATTTTTTATTTTATATATTTTACATCATTTTTCATTTTTATACAATGTATCCATTTTCATCTTGATTCTAGTCCCCATACAATTCCCACCCCCTGTTTTGATCCTACTCCCTCCTCCCCACCCCCTGTAGTGTGTCTCTGGTCCCAAATGCCCAAATTTCCTGGTCCCAAATGCCCAAAAATAGATGACTGGATCAAGAAGATGTGGTACATATACACAATGAAATGTGCGGTTTGCAGCAACATCATGAAGCTGGAAGGGATCATGATCAGAGAAATAAGCCAGAAAGAAAAAGAAAAATACCAGATGGTCCCACTCATAGCAGAAATTTAGGTACAGTCCTTTTTTAAAATCAGTTCTATGTGCAGTTTGTTGGAGGTATAGTCATGTACACACACTACAAATTATTTTACTCATATGAAAGCATTTAAAATCATGATGCATGATGGTATTACATATGTACTATTTTAAAGCTGATTTTAAAACCAATCATGGAAACTACCCTAAAATCCCCATAAGGATGGCCTGAATTTTACCAAGCCATAAGCTAAAGCTACTCATGGAAGCTAAAAGCATCATACTCTACCTGGATGGAGAAATGATTCATAAGCTAGTTAGTCCTTCTAGAACTACAGCTCCATTTATATAACTAATTACCATACTGAGTCTGTATCTCCTTGTGGAAAATAATCATATTTTGAGCAAGGAAGAAAGGAGGGAGAGAAGAATTTGTAACTAACTGTGTGACCAAGGGGCACCCAGAGACCCCAAATTATGAAGACGTACCTGTTCTAAAAGGGTTCAGCCAACTCCATGCACAAAAAAACTAAGAAAATAGATTCCTGTTGTGAAAGATCTTTAGTTGGTGTGAAATCTCAAAGGGCAGAGAGAGGAGAGAGGGAGAGAGAGAGAAGAGAAGAAAGAATTTCAAATGACCAACTCCTGATCAAGTCCAAAACTTATCCATTCCATCGTGGGCAAATACGAAGCCAAACAAGCGTGGCCTCTAGCAGGGTGGGTAAGGCCAAAATCTTGCCACAAGTCTTAAGTCACCTTCTAGCAGGGAGCCACAAGAAAAGGGTTAGGCAGGTCCCAGAAAGCTGGGACAGAAGGAAAGGCCCGAAATTCAAAACATAGACTATAATTCACCATAAAGTTAAGGTAATGGCTGCTGTCATCGCTGCCAAAATGCTCAAATCCCAGGAGCAGCTTCTCCACATGTCTCTTAGCCACGTGTCTTCCTTCTAAGTCTCTCCTCCAAGTATCTCCCTTACTGTGGTCTACCTCAATGTATGTGTCCACCTGGCTCCTAGTTAACCCCCATTCTACATGGCATGCTGGGAATTGTAGTCCAACGTGGCTGCATGTAAGTGGGGATGGGGAAAATGGCTCCCTTTCACTGAAGTGGAAGAAAGCTGAGGTGAGGGGGCAAGGGAGGGAAGGGAGGATCCTAAACCATATTCATTGCTATGAAATCACAAAATTCACATATAAGGTGCTTATTTAACCTCTGTAAGGAGTCCGTATACTTGTACATTAATCTACTTACCAGTGTGCTCGCAGGAAATGAACCTACTAGAGAGATGATGAATATCTGAGGGAGAGGATGACTATAGATCTGTACGCATATATGACTATAGATCTTTACACATATCTATATGACTATAGATCTTCATGCCATAGCATGAACTGAGGAAGCATGAACTTGGAAAATGATCAAGACCCATCCAGACCCACTCCCTCACTCCCTGCATCTTACTAACCCCAACTTTACATCTAGAAATTGGTATAATTAATATACCTTCCTTGTAGCATCATTGAGAAGATTAAATGAGTTATTAGATGTACAGTGCCTGTAGCACACTGTGAACCTTAATAAATGATGATTCTTACTTATTTTTAAACATAGATCCTCATGGACTCTTTTAAGCAAGTTGTACCCCACGAAACTTAGTGCTTACTATAATTGTACTGCTTAGCCTGGAAATCAAGAGACTTTTCTCAAACACACACTGGTCCTGCTGGTAAAACTGAGTCACTGCAAATTGCTATTGATTGCTATCTCTCACTACCTTTTTGCAAAGTCTCCTTTCTGTCTTCACCTTCTGAAAACTCTGAGTGGTAAAACAGGTCTCCATCCCTGGATACACACCATCAGAGTCTTCACCCTTGGCTTATGGTTCACTCTTCACACCTAATTGACTGAGAAATGAGTCCCTTTGATTTTGGATGTGGTGAGCAGTTTCAAACTAATCTTCTTAAGTTCCTGATGAGGCATTCATAGCACATTAGCATGAGCCATCACTTTTATTGGTGCTATTGCTATAATATGAAGTAATTTATTACATCAAATAAATTGGAACGACCCCACAGGATGATGCAGTTGGGATTGGGAGCAAAAACCTCAGCCACTCCAGAGCCAGAGCACAAGCCTCCAAGGCAGCCCTCCTGCCCTTCAACACAGAGAAACTGGTTGTCCCTGTCACACTCACTTGTCAGGGAAGCCCTTTTGATGTCCATTTTTTCTCTTGTAGTTTTATTACAGGAATTTGTATCTACTTTGTATCAGACATGGCACTAAGCAATTTATGTGTTTTCTCATTTAATCTTCAAAGCTGAGCTGTGACAGCTCTGCCGGTTGTGCAGAGAGGAAAGTCAGGCTCAGCGGGAAAACCTGCCCAAAGATCCTGAGCTGATAAAAGTCTAAACGGGGATTCCAGCCCATTCTGTTGACGTACCATTGACTGTACTGTCACACAACACTCATCCCTGTCACTGTCTGATGGATGAACCTTTCCAGATCCTATAGCAGAAAAGCAAAAGACAGCAGGTTGTGAGTGCAGTTAATTTGTTGACATTCCTTTTTGGTTGTG